GATAGTGCCTGTGTGTTTAATTTTAATTTACAGGATATTAAACAGATTGGTTGTGATTAGATGGACCTTTTCCTATGAAAGGTGTGTCTGGAGAAGGTGACAGGTGTGATGTTAGAACTGTTAATAGGGAAACCATAGTGAGGCTGTGAGATTTTTTGTTTTTAACTCTGAGCTAGTGCATATAGTAGCTAGCTATTCGCCGACATGCATGAAATAAGATCGAAGTGATGTTTAATAATATATTTACACAAAGAAGAAAAAAACATATCTTTCAAGGTACCATAAGGATTACAGAGAGAAGAAATATGTTAGGCATTTCTTTCAGGAGAATGCTCTGTGTTGGAATTCTTTTCATTTTTAATATTACATTGTTTAACAATGGAATTTTAAAAGAATCACAGGGGATTGTTTTTATTACAGAATTATATGCTCAAAAGTGAGGTGTTTTTTTTGTTTGTTTTGTTTTTTAAGGCGTATCAAGGCAAATGGAGGAAAATTTCATTATGTTTATTGCCATGTCATTGTGCCACCTGCTGGAGCAGAGGACACAGGGGCACTTGAGCTATGACACTCACATCCCTCACAGCCGGTGCAGGAGCCTGCAACCCTCCTGCTCTCTTCCCGGCCTGGGGCCGTGAGGGAGGGTTTGCTCCGTGGTCAGGGGGCAGACACTGCATTCTCCATAAAATGTTAATGCGAGTGAGCAACCCTGCATCACAAACTGATTAGAAATTGTAATTTTTATACGTTATAAACCATAATTGTGCCCAAATGGAGCAGAAATGGTGCTTCGGTCATGAGACGGAAGGAGTAGATCAGAGAGGAATATTTGAAATTGAACATTATGAATTAGGAAAAATCTGCAAAAAAAATTTAAACATAGTTTTTATCCTCAGTCTGTTTCGAATGTGGCACTATGGAGACACTATGGAGACACAAAGATCCATGGTACAGTTCCCGTCCCCAGGGCACAGAGCAGTCAGGACAGCAAGGTTACGTGACCACAATAAATAACCCCCACATCTCAGTGGATGGTAATATTCGTTTCTTGCTGATGCTACACTTCAAGCCCAGGTCAGCACTCAACTCTGCTCGCCCTTGTCACTCAAGGACCCAGGCTGATGAAGGTTCCATTTCCCCTGTGTTCTTGCTATAGCAAGTGAAGGAGACAGTGGCAGTGTCTTGAACTGGGTAGTTAAATGCTTTCTCCAGCAAATGACGCGTGCTGTTTCTGTTTGTATTTCATGGGCCAGGGCAAGTCATGTGGCTATTCCTAACAATAAAGAGAATAGGATATACAATTCTACAATGTTCCCAGAAGGAAGAAGAGAACTGGAATGTTTGTAAGGGACCCTAAGGACTAACCAAAGAAATGTCCAATCAGGTTGAAGCAGTGAGACACAGGCACCTGAAAGCTTAAGATTAAAGATACATATGAATGCAAAACAATAGCAGAAACCCAGTTCGATTCAAAATTTATTAAGGAGCTAGTATATGCCAGGCACTGCGCTAGGCACAAAGATGGCAAAGATGAAAAATCAGCCATGGAAGAACTCTATGTTGAATTAGGAACACACACACACACACACACACACACACACACACACACACACACAACCTAGTAAAAGGACAAGACAGGAAGTATGCAAAGCAGTGAGGTGAGAGACGTAAGACAGACTGATCACAGAGGGCTTCGTGCCATCATAAGTAGCTCGAACTTTTGAATGGTTATGAGCAGGGAAAGGACCTTATGAGATTTTTATTTTAAAGAAATCATGAAAGATAGCTTTAAGAAAGCAAGACCAGAGGCAGAGCGACCAGTTAGAGGTGATTACTTTAGTCCCAGTGACCCAGGATGCGAGTTCCAAGCTAGAGGGCTGAGCAGAGCTGGGGAGAAGCAAACGGGCATGTGGAGTTCTTAGGACATGAGAAAGCAGGACTTCATAAGTGATTGAATGTAGGTGGGGAGTAATAAGTCAGATACGGGTTCCATATTTCTCGCCTGGGTGAATGTGTTGATGGTGATGTCACCACAAAGACAAAATCTGTGGTATTTCAGAGGAAGGGCAGCCTGGTGTGGTTGATAAAGAGTCTTAAAGACTATTGAGTTAAGCTCGGTGAGCTCAGGGACTTCGTCTTGTTCAGTGCTGGGTTCCCAGTGCCTTCAATGGTGTCTAGCACATAATAATGATTCAATGAATATTTGATAGATGAATGGGTTTGACAGCAGAGTAAGGTGTTCACGGATGAAGAGAAACAGGTGGTCGTTGGTGGGGAATTGGGAGAAGGGACATTAAGGACACTGGGCCCAACTGGCTGGACCTTTACAAACACATCCCACCCAGTAACCAGGTCTGGGTTGTCCTGGAAGGGTCATCATGTTTGGTGGGGCCACTCTCCACGGCTGAGGCAGACCCCGAAG